CCAGAGCACTGCGTCCAGCTCTGGAGCCCTCAGCATGAGAAAGACACAGACCTGTTGGAGCGGGTCCAGAAGAGGGCCACGAAAATGATCAGGGGGGTGGAACACCTCTGGATGGAACACCTCTCCTGTGAAGACAGGCTGAGAGAGTTGGGGTTATTCAGTCTGGAGGGGAGACGGCTTCAGGGACACCTTATTGCAGCCTGTCAGTGCTTAAAGGGGGCTTATAAGAAAGATGGGGACAAACTTTTTAGCAGGGCCTGTTGCGACAGGACAAGGGGCAATGGCTTTAAACTAAAGGGGGGTAGATTTAGACTAGATACAAGGAAGAAATTTTTTACGCTGAGGGTGGTGAAGCACTGGCACAGTTGCCCAGAGAGGTGGTAGATGCCCCATCCCTGGAAACGTTCAAGGTCAGGTTGGACGGGGCTCTGAGCCACCTGATCTAGTTGAAGATGTCCCTGCCCACGGCAGGGGGGCTGGACTAGATGAGCTTTAGAGGTCCCTTCCAACCCAAACTATTCTATGATTCTGATTCTACATACAACATTAATCCTGAATTTAACATTATGATCTAAAAGATGACTTAGAACTGCCTAGGGTGCAGCTTTGATGTATGTAAAATCTAGAAACCACTCTAGCTATTGTCTTGTGGGAAAGCAACAATGGTAAACCAAAGCAGTTTGCAATCACTATAGCATTATTATGCTGTATCACAGAATCCAAATAATTGTTGCATGGTATCTGAACTATAAAGTTAACTGAAATCCAACATCTGTAATAAAATATGAACATTGAAAGTAGCTAGAATGCAAAACTATGTAAATTCTAGTAAAGATACAATTGCTTACACCTACCTACCTTTAGCCTTCAGGGATCTCGTAGCCAGATGTTCCCTTTACACCTGAAAAATAGATGGAAAAAGAAAGCATAAGTGATAATTTCTTTTTTAAAAGCTTTTAAAAATTGTATCAACTGGCAATTGTTTAGCTCCTGGTAATGTGAAGATTCAGCCATAGATGCATAAAGTTCGGTTTGTGGGACCAAATCCAATATCTCTGCAGACCTCTATATTGTATTTCAAACACATATTTCTGGATTAATTTCTAGATGCTAGACAGCCTTGACTTCGCCTGATGTAAACAGAAGACATTCTGGGTCCCAGAGAACTGAAAGCAAACTGTAAACAATTGGTATTGCAATGCAAAGAAAAAGGAAGATTTTAAATTACATTTCAAATTCTTATTTGCTTAAATACATAGTCTCTTCCTATTAACATTTATACTGTCCTAAGGTATAGTATCATATGTTTGTTTGATGGATTCCCAATGTTTTTATTATGTGACTGTTCTCATAGCATCAGTGAAAAACACTGTCAATATTTTGGTTTTAGAACTACATAAAACCAGGATAATTAAGACACTTTTAGAAAAGATAGCGGACAACAAAACATTCTCATCTCAGTCCAGGTCAGCTGAAAAACAGCCAGCTAAGAAAAAATCAGAACACAGGAGCCTTTTACATGTGCCAGCGGACAGAGCCAAGAACAAGGAAGTCTTATGCACACAAGGAGACTTTTAAGTGGTATAATACTTTGACTTCTAAAAAGACAAGTGTCTTGTAAAAGTTTCCTGCTTTTTTTTCCTCATTTTACTGATTTGGAGCCTAAAAATGCATTCTATCTAGTGAATTTTTATTTTTTACTGAAATCTGTTTTTTTTTATATTAAATAACTGGTATTGTGCATTACTGAAAAAACTTTGAAAAATAGGTAAGAGCCGTTCGTAGCAGACAAGATCATTGGGATCATACAGTAGCTACAGTGAGCCAGGAAATGAAGAATTACTTGCAGAAAACACAGCACAGCAAACAACCTATACTTTCTACCTCCCTGGTAGCTGTCAGGAAAGGTATAAGAATCTTACATAATCTGCATATTCTGTGAACTGAACACATTGACACACGGCAGAGGTACTGTAAACACCTTCAGAGACAAACCAGACACTTCTTCTGACAGCAGTTAGCTATGTTTGAAGTTTTAATTCACCAGAACTTTGCACTCTGCAGAAGAGGAGACAAACCCCTTGCCACAAGGTGCACAAGCATTCTTTACCACTAGTAGGGCTGGTTTCTCTCCCTCTTTTTGTGTTCCTGCCCATAAAACCACTGAAATGCTGGGTGAGAGGATGTCCAGGAGCCCAGATCTTTTTCAAAATGGGACAGTCCTCAACAGTAGATCAGGTCAGCCACCTGAGGCTTCGCCTCACTGAGTCTTAAAAACCTTCAAGGATGGAAATTCTGTAACATCCCTAAATAACCTGCTCCAGTGCTGCCCAGCTGCCTGGTGAAGGCACATTCCAGCAGCACTGCCACCAATACAGGTGTACTGCTGGGAAGTTGTTCCCTTCCCTTCTCCTCTGCGATTGCCCTCTCATGCTGTGCAGCTGTAATTTTGTCCTTTGCTTTGTATCTCTTAACCGCACATTTTTGAGGTTATAAAAAAACACAGTTATCGTGTAAGAAAAACATAAATATATTGTTTATGTCCATTTCGGCACATATTTTAGGAATCATTATTTTAAACTCTGCAAAAGTGACAGATCTTTGCTTTATTAAACCTGCTTTTAGAAACGATTGGAAGCCTCTGACCTTCCAGTGCTTCCTCAAAAATTAAGCTCTGCAGCTTTAAAATCTGCCTGTACTTTCTCTCTCCTCTCGCTGCAGGCAGTGAAGGCTCTGCAGCAGCCGGCTCATCCTATCAATAAGGTTCGGTTAGCCAAGGTGGAGGATGGGAGGAGAATGGAACTGTCCCAGCTCCTCAATGAGATCAGGGCAAAGTATGAAACGCTCATCACCAGAAATCAGATAAAGACCATCATCTCAGCAAGGACCCAGGTAATGACTTCATACAGACATACACCTTCCAGAGTAAGGAGACAATCCCTGTCTATACAATTCCTCCCTCAGCCTCTATGAGGTACAGTATTTCCTTTTCAATGCAGCGTATTATTGGGGAAGGGATTTTGATTTTACTGCAGTAACGTGAACTAGAAGATACGGAAACAGATTTTGTTTAGGGTATGAAATTCACACTAAAAGAATGCTGTGTAATTCATCTGGATGTTTTTCTGTACCTGCAACAGTGATATTGTTGTGATTTAAAAAATGATGACATATGCTGTAACATGGTAACCTCTAGCTCCATTTAGTTATCCCAGAGGAAAAGAGAATCTTGAAAATCTAAGGCAATGTAAAGAATCCATTTATATACAGAAAGCTTTACCATTTTTAGCACCTGTATTAAAGAAAACTGTACCTTTTCAGGAACTATTTTATATTGTTCACAGTAAAACTGTGTCATACTCTTCAGCAAATATAATTTGTTCTTTCATACAGATTGATTACAATGCTACTATTATAGATTTACATACAAAACATCTCTAAAACCCAACTGAACTTTGAAATAAAATGGCAAAACAATGTTCAGCCATCAAACGTCAAGAAACTCACGGTGAAAATTAGGTATTATGTCACTCTGTTGTACTTCTTAGGTATTGCAGAAATTCTGGAGGTTTTTTTTAACCACAGGCCAGACTACTGCTGCAATCTGGTTGATCTACACAGTAATCCAATGACACACATCAGCTATAAACTAGACAGTTAAGCCAAGTTTATATCTGTGTTTGGCACAAAGCAGCCAATGTGTACTGATACAATCTTGTCACATAAATTCTGCAGTACCCAGGCAAAAAAGGGTAACAAAGAATATTGAGTGTTCACTTGTGCATTAGCCAAACCTAGATTTTTCACCAAAACAATGGCATGGTAAAATTACAATAGGTCAGTATGTTATAGGGGAAAAAAAGAAACTTATTTTACTTGCTTCTTAAGACCTGAATTAAAGAGTTTCTTTCCTTAGAGTTGATGGCATCATAAGAACCTACATAAAGTAGTAAAATATGCAAAAGAGTATCTATTGTTTCAAGTGCTTATGGCATCTTCACCACTTGCAGTAAAACTCAGAATCAAAAAGGAAAAATAACTTTCATAAGCAAAACAATCATTCTGGGAGTTAAATGCATTAACATATTCTCTAAATCAAAAATGAGCCCAAATCTAAAATGACCCCACACATGCTCAGGCTTGGCTTAAAAAAATCTACTTTTAATAGGATTAAAAAAAAGCAAAAAACCACATTTTCTTGCTAACACAATACAGTACTTGTTTGACTGTTTACTTTTTTTCTAAGAATAAGCTTCAGCCTTAAGAATGGTAAATTATCTCAGATTATATTTTGGATCAGGATTAAGATTAGAACAGGCACTTCACTTCTGAATTGTCACATTTAACATGAGTGACAGCGTATAGTCAGAGAACACGCCAATTTTTTCCTTCCTGTGACAGGTAAATCTTAAATAACCTGTCCTCAGAAGACAAGGAAAAGTTGTAGATTTGGATAAAGTTGCTATTCATATTTAAATGAATGGAGGTACTTGCTCTCAAATGACAATCTGAAATCTGGTCAATGACTAGATCAGGCAAAAACATAATTACAGCAATTGTCAATTGTGCTATATTCATGCAACCGCTCAAAAGCGCTCCCTCTCTATAAAGCTGTTCTTAGAAACGAAAAATACATTAAAAACAAAGAACCTTATTCAAACCTGGAAGCTTGAACTGACTGCAATTCCTCTAATTTCCATGACGTTAAGCCCATTTACTCCAGCGGAGAATAAGGTCTAAATACAACTGGTTAATTTGTATGGGAATTCCTCTACAACAAATATGCTAGGGATAACGATGCGGCCAACTACTTCCATCAAACACAGCAGGATAAGGGCTTCCTGTCTACACGGTACATAAAATATTAACTCATCACTGTTAGCTTCAACAAATTTATGACTCTTAAAAAAATCCAACTAGAGATTTTTATGTGTCTATTTTATTTTCATCATTTGACTATTTTTAAAATATTCTTATCTTTTTTACATCCCCTGTAGCTAGAGGAAGCTACAATTAAAAGAATGGACAAAGATGCAGAAGCATTAAAGGCAGCGAGAGCAGAACTCTGTGAAGCAAGACGGCAGTGGCACCATATGCAGATCGAAATTGAATCTCTCCACGCTGTGGTAAGCATCATAAAATGAAACTTGAAATCTCCTGGAAAAAAATAAATCTTTCTCTTGATGTAAAATATTCCACAATTCAGTTTATGTAACAATCACATCCACTATACAGCGGAAATACAACACACACAGAAATGCATAGCTTTGCGGTGGACTTTCAGCTCGTCACACAAAGTACTAACCAACAAGCAACAACCCAGGCATTTGCTCACGCTTAAGAGTATAGTATGTTTTGATTCAGGATCTGCCATTCAATATACACGTGTTCTCATGTTTTCACACCTGCCAAACATATATTTGCATGATACTCCCTCATCCGGTTCCCGGTCATTCTGCCTAACCAATTCACATCAGGTTTATAACTTTTTTGAATGTGTGGACCAAATTTATCAGGTCATTCACGATAAACTATGTCAGCAATGTACTGAATTCAGTCATATAGATAGGCTACAAGAGCACGCAGACCACTTGGTTTTCATACAGTACTGAGCTGGATATTGCTTTAACCATCAGAGATGTGTAAAATCAATGGCAGTGGATTGCTGGTACAACAGAAGGCTACATTTTTTTTATCCTATCTTAAATTATTAAAGATTTTACTGGAAAATTTCTCAGCAGAAGTATTATATATTAAAAAAGTATAAAGACATATATAAAGTATATATATAAAAAAGTATAAAGACACGGACCTGTTGGAGCGGGTCCGGAGGAGGGCCACAAAAATGATCAGGGGGATGGAACACCTCTCCTGTGAAGACAGGCTGAGAGAGTTGGGGTTGTTCAGCCTGGAGAAGAGAAGGCTTCGGGGAGACCTTATTGCAGCCCGTCAGTGCTTAAAGGGGGCTTAGAAAAAAGATGGCGGCAAACTTTTCAGCCGGGCCTGTTGCGACAGGACAAGGGGGAACGGCTTTGAACTGAAGGGGGGTAGATTTAGACTAGATACAAGGAAGAAATTTTTTACGCTGAGGGTGGTGAAACACTGGCACAGGTTGCCCAGAGCGGTGGTGGATGCCCCATCCCTGGAAACATTCCAGGTCAGGTTGGACGGGGCTCTGAGCAACCTGATCTAGTTGAAGATGTCCCTGCCCACGCAGGGGGGTTGGACTAGATGACCTTTAGAGGTCCCTTCCAACCCAAACTATTCTATGATTATCTTGAAAGCTTTACTCCTGCTCCTAAAGAATATTCTTAAAAGAACTGATGTAAAAATACACAGATTGCTAATGAAAAGTACATATAACATCTTTATGTGTATACTTTCCAAATCTTAAAATATGAGTTAAATTTCACAGGAAAAGGGTTTGGAACGTTCATTGCGTGACACAGAGCAGCAGTACCACATGCAACTACAAAATTTAGAAGCTGAGATTGAATGCTTAGAGAAAGAGCTACTGGAAGTGAGAAGAGGTATTGAGAAACAGCTCCAAGAGCATGAAATTCTCCTGAACACAAGGATGAAACTGGAGGAGGAGATAGCAACATATCGCAGTCTGCTTGAGCAAGAAGAGAACAGGTACTTGTCAATTAGAGAAAAAGTACTCAAATTTATCTTCCATTTCAGAACTTCTCATTGAAATAATCAGAATTGTAAATACATGAATGAATCATTAAAAAATTGTAGTATAGAATCCTTAGAAATGGTTTCACTTAACTTCACTGATTCCGCCCTTTCTGGAGCTGAGTATCTCCACAATGCATTGCAGATAATAGCACGCGTACTGCATCCTCGCTCGAGGCACGGCATGTTTATGTAGACTTTGTATCCCATTAGCTGCATGACGTGGGCTCTGTCTCAGACCATCGATGAAGCAAGTCCACACGCATGAAGTTCTGAGAGACGAGTTCACGTCTCATCACTTGACAGATGGCCATTTGCATGTGGACTTCACACTACTCAGTATCATTCAAAGTGTGTTAAGGCACACATTTGGGAGGGTCTACGCATTAGGATGCTCTTTAAGAACATGCCTTCTAGTGACATTTTGCTTTGGTTGTAACTCTTCATGTCTGCCCTTTCCCTGCTACACAAACACCAGTATTGTGAAACGCAGACATGAGAGAGGCAGCTACACAAATGTAAACAAGGAGGAGAAGGAAAAGGCAAAACATCACATCTTGCACTCAGCACTGGTATCTTCACAAAACCAGGCCTGTGATGCCGAAATCTTTCAGTGGAACATTGCCTCCCTCAGTCCTTTCTACAGAAAATAGAGCGTTTCAGTCCAGGAACCTCACACGTTTGCCTAAGAAGATTCCAGACAGGGGAGTCAGTTTCAGATTTAATGCTTTTAACTCTGTGAAAATACACACAATTCAGTACTAATAAAATTAAATAACTCTTCCTGGCACACAACAAACTGACTAAAAACTGTCCGAAAATAATGATGAAATTGCACAGGTATTTTCAGTAACTTTCTTCAGTTCTATACTCAGAATGAGAAATCCTAACAAATAGTTACTACAATCAAACAGAACTTCTCATGCTTCTTATATTTTTTAATTTTTCATAGCTGTTCATAAGACAAGTTTTGGATTAAAGTAATTCAATATTATTAGATGACTGTAATAATTTTTGTTTTTGCAGGTTTCGTTGCTCTATACCTGACCAGAAGGATGACAAAAAGCCTACCACTAGCAAGATTGCCTTTACACTGCCTTCAGGCGAGTTTTTCAACACTTTCCCCTTAGGGGATTATGGCTCTAAATGAGGTTCCTAACTACTGACAAATTACTGGATATTACAAAAGGATCTTCTTCCAGTGCAGCAGGAGGAAAAACACCTCTAGGCCCTGTGTCCTGACCTTACTCTTCTGCATGCCTAGTATATCTGCATTTTCTTTTACAGATGGTGTAAAGAAGCACGAAACTGAGAAGGTGGAACTGATGACAAAACAAGCAATCCTAGATGGAAATATTATGAAGGAAAGCGCTGAAGCTCATGGCACTGTACAGTAAGATAAACATGAATTTAACAAAATAACAGTTGAAAGTAAATGGTGGGCATTACGTTTCAGTAGCTTTGAGTTTTCTTTTATTTAGTATCTGTTATATCATGCCCATACAGCCAAGACACTCCAGAATAAGTGATAGTTCTTGAAGGTATATTGAATGGCATGTTTTAACAATACATTAAATTTTAAAGTTCTTTTTATCAGCATTTACTTCATAAGCTAACAATAGCATGATGATGCTTTTGATTTGTAATTTCTATCTCTGTTAAGAATGAAACTATGAATAATTCATCTAGTTAAGGTTGAAAGCAAAAGAGCCCATACTATGTTTGTGAAGTCCCTCTGGGGCATATTTATGCAGATAAATTCAGGCTTGGCTGCTCTAACTTGCTATTTGGAAACTCCTGCGTTTCACCAATTACCAAACAGGGAACAGAGAGCTTGACTCCTAAGTGGGCATGTGAAAGTCTGTTAGTATGTATTATTCACCTTAAATTACTTTAATAGTATTGGATTGCCTCATTCTTTTTTTTCCTGCTGCTCTTTAAGCTTTTTTGTAGACTAGCATTTAACATTACATTTAAAACAAACTGTAGTGTACGATGTCACTAATACTTAACTGTAATCAGCTGTTGAAAACACGTAGAAATTTGGATTAAAAATTAATGCCATCATGTGGTCCACCATACACACTCCATTCCTGAAGCTTGTTTTCATACCTGAGCTTGGTTCATCTTACACAGTCAGTCAGATTTGCACGGGGCTACTCGGCTGGCTACAGTTTACCTGAGTGAGGCCCCCAGAGTCGGACTTTTAGATCTGGATCCTGACACATACTTAGAGGATTATATCCATAGGATTTGGGTGCCTAAATATTATTGCATCAGCTGGGTTTTCAGTTCTCTGTATTTTACTTCTGCCCTTTTTTCTTTTTTAATTTAAAGTAGATCTACATTCTGAGGTTTGGATCTGAACTAGATTTTTCTCCTCCCTATTTTGAAGGCTTTCAGATGCAGGAATTCTGTCCTGCCCGCTATAGTATGGAGGTTTCTTGCAAAGTTTTTGAGCTGGGATTCCAAACTTTCTCCTTGGAAACAAACTGCCTGATGTGTTTGGAGCAGTGGTTTTGTATCCATGTCTACTTAAAAGTACAAAAACAAGAACCCTCACCCTTTATTTAGCTTTTCTGGAGAACAAACCTGTGAAAAAAAAGGAAAATTCTAGTGTCTCAGTACCCATCTAAAATAACTTGACACTTTATTATGCGATTTCTCTCTACATTTTAAAAGCAGTCCTGAAGACAGATAATTCATATTGCCTAAAGGATCATAAATACATTTGCTTTATTGTTTCAGGACAGAAAAAGTGGATGAAGTCATTAAAGAATGGGAAGGTTCTTTCTTTAAGGACAACCCTCGCTTAAGGAAAAAATCAGTTTCATTGCGCTTTGATCTCCACCTAGCAGCAACAGATGAAGGATGTTTACACACTAAAAAGAAAACTCTTCCTGACATTGAAGTCAGGCTGGTAATGAGGAGATCTTGCAGTATTCCTTCTATCAAACCTTAACCTACAGCAAATTAACCCAAAGTTCACCTCCAATGGGCTCTGGAAATAAGTAGATGGACTTACACGGCCTGCTATCTTGCTACAACTACGAAATCTTACTAAGTACTTTGATTAATACAATAAAAACATACAAGTCTCTCTTAAAAGAAAGGGACATGAGCAAGGGAGTTAAGATTCCAAGAAACCTAACTTCTACTAGTTTTATACTCTGGGTGCAGCCCTTTAATTTTCTCATTATTGTTGTTTTGTAGAATTTCACCAAATATTACAAAAATTAAACTGTAACTTTATACTTTGACACATTCTGCCTTTGTAAAAGAGAACTCATCTTCTCTTTCTGGAAATGAGAACTGCATATTTCATTCTCTTAATTATTCAATATTGCATACACACAATGACTGATGAATCCTTGTAATAATTTGTATCACAACTGTCATACTTCTTGAAATACATTTTAAAATAACACTTTCTAACAGCAAAAACTACATACAAAGATGCTCTTAAGATACATAAACTATTAACAAAGAATTTTCTTTTAAAAGTGGCTGGTATTTTTAAATTAATTTTTTTAGGCAACAACTGAGCAAAAATGTCTTTCCCTTACATAATTATACAAATGTTTTTAGAATTGTTGTTACAAACCAGTAATATTTTAGCCATATCGTTCCACTGATTTTGAAGCAGTAATTTCCACTGAAAATCAATCATTCTCTTATTTGTCCACACATATCTGTACTACAGCTTTCCTAGCCATAGCAAGTAAAATTATACCCTTTACTTGTTCAAATGTAAGGAGCCAATCAACCATTTTAATGCTGGTATTTAATTAATTTTGTGTATTATAACAATGTGAATTAAAATATTGTCAACAAATTCCTCTTCTGACAAATCTTGTAAGTAAGTTATGCTCTTGATCTCATACACATAACAAGTCACTATTACACCAGGGTACAACTATTATAGCTTCAAATTAAATGGACAAAATAAGGGCTACATATTCAAAGTAAAATTCTACCGTACCCATTAAGTATCCCCCACTACTACTCAAAGTAGCTATGGGCAAATACAAAGTACAGTAGATGATCGTGCACCAGTACACAGAAAAAACAGAAATACAAACTCAGACATACTTCTTTATAACATTATGAGACAAATTTCAAACAAAAATTCAAACAAAATTGTATTAAGATAAGAATGATTGTTTATGAGGATTTTCAAGAGGCATGGATGTCACAAACTCTCACCGAAATCGCTGGGATTGCAGGGGCTCAGAATCTAGAAAAACCACGTACCGTATTTTTACGGTGCTTTTCACAGCAGCATGTGAAAGATTAATAAGGCAAATGCTGACACTTAAATTACTTACAGCATGTGTTACAAAAACTGATACTACAAATTCTTTCAGTGTTAAGTTATGCTTCTACCTTTTGTTAATGGTAAGAACAACACATTCATATTGCCCACAGTTCTATATCTACTGTATGAAGCTGGCTAATTATCATTAACCTTAATACTGATCTGGTGTTGTTAATACTTGAGTATTTGGCATCCTGAATGTATTAGCCTGCTCTAGTATTTTCACTATGCAGCTTTTTTTTGTGCTTATACTCTGTAAATTTTACAATACTTGAATTTAAACTAAGTTTTAATTGCTTTAAGGCACTTTAAACAGGGATATGAATTTACCAAAGTAAATGATAGTACTACAATAAAAAAAGTATTAAAATTGAGTTTGCCCACGCCTATTTTGTGAGTTTTAATGTGTATACCTTAAAAGGAAAGAAGTAACAGAGAAATACAAAATAAAAGTTGTAGATAAGAAAATCTGTAGCACTGCAACCAAGTGTTTTCTAAGCTCTCCTCTACAATTAGAAAGACACAAATTCCCTAAGAATCTTTATCATAGCATGTAAGGTGAGTGTCCTCCTGCTACAAAAATTACTCTTTTTCTGGTAAATCCAGTAACCCTGACTAGATCTAAAGTCCTTTGTTCTGAGTAATGCACAAGAAAGAACAGGCGACAGCATCTGGCATACATAGCTTACAATCTAGAAGATAAGCTGATAGGCAAAGATAAATAGCAAGCAAATATGTAAGAGAAACTTAGCTTAAAACATACACCTTTAAAACTGCTTAGACAGACTTCCTCATGCAGGAAAAGCTTGCATAGGCATATAAAAATCACTGTACAAATACACAGAAGGTACTGCCATCCCTACAGTAAACAATAATGGAATAATCTTACAGACACTTTTTTTTTTTTCTTTAACCAGGGGGTGTTTGGCTTATTCTCTGACCTACGGTACTTCTTGGGATACTAAATTCTCTGGTGTAACTCTAGATTTTTTTTTCCCCTAGTGATAGAAACCTCGTTCAGCATAGTACAGAACACATGCCCGACTTCGCCTTGCAATACAACCTCCATATTACTTTAGAAGAGAAAAATTACTGTGTATCTATAGTAAACATTGCCTGGGATACTAAGTAACTAGAAAAAAATGTTGACCTTATCATATATGTTATTTCATCCATATAATGGCCTAACCTCATGGTTTCTGAAGCCATCTCCCTGACCCCAATGACAGCACAAGTACATCCTGAGCTGTCCTGTGATGAGAAATATATGCCACGCACAGAAGTCACCATTGTTTAACACCAGACTCAACTGCTCATGAAATACATAGCTTCTGTTTGAAGTTTGAAACAACTGGCATAAACCCAGTTATACTGTTTTATGATCATGAAACCTGACACTCTAAGGAAAAAAAAAAAGTCTGCAGTTTAATAGCTTTTTTTGTTAGCACATGACATTCTGCAGGCAGCCCACTCTTACCTGTTCAAAGCTATTTTCTTCTGTGGGACTTCCTGACACTGATTTCATTAGCTGCATTAAGAATTGCTGCTACTCTAGACCTCGTTCAAGTGTGCATCCTGGTTTTAACTATGTTTTCTCCCCTTACAGTACATATATATCTTTTGCATTATTCACAAATTCCATCTCTTCAAATGTAAAGAGCTTACTCTTTTGTTCATAAACTACTCAAACTTCCACTAGTGGTGAACTCCACATGGGCATAGGAAAAATAAGTATCCACAATAAAATCTCACCCTGATTTTAGGTCACTTTAAAGCTGAATTTAAAAATATAACACTGAAGCCTGACAATATGGCAAAGAATTCCTCACTTCTGTGCTGCTGATTAAATTCAGACCAGCTGAGCTACTGCCATCTAATACCTGCAAATGTCCGACGTAAAAATGAGTGTCATTGTCTCAACCTACTTTCCAATGAATATATGTCCTCATTACAAAGCTTATGAAACTGTTGCTAATTAAAACAGTTGGGTAAGAGCCAACTATTTAGAGCCCCCTGGTTAGTATGATGCAATATAAACAATCCTATTAAATCAGTAAAACTACTTATGTCATACAGTATCTTAGAAAGTGTACACAGGAAGAGTCTTTCACTATCACAACATGGAAATTAGGCAAATAACAAAGTAAAAAAAAAAAACACATAAAACAAAGTAAGGAATACACTGCCAGCTTTGAAAACACATGTAATGATTCAGAACTATCAGCATGGAAAGTGAGTATCAGTAAACGTACTTGAACACCATAATAAGTATTTCAATAAGCTGCACAAATTTAAATTTATTTTAACGTTATCAACATTAAATAGGGTGGTGAAGCACTGGCACAGTTGCCCAGAGAGGTGGTGGATGCCCCATCCCTGGAAACATTCCAGGTCAGGTTGGACGGGGCTCTGAGCAGCCTGATCTAGTTGAAGATGTCCCTGCCCACGGCAGGGGGGTTGGACTAGATGACCTTTGGAGGTCCCTTCCAACCCAAACTATTCTATGATTCTATAAATGCATTTTAACACTATCAACAAAACCATGTTATTAATAAACTAGAGATGAACACATAAAGCGGTCAAAACCAGGGATAAAACAGGTTATTTTTCATATCCTAACAAGTATTTTCTCACCTTTTCTTTACAAATGTTCTGCCCAGGTGAAACTGTAGACTAAAGAGAGGCGTATTTGGCTAGCTGACTGAGGAATCTTTTCAATTCTTACATTCTTTTAATTATCAAATCGAAGTCACAGATTATTGTGCTGCATATCAACAAATTTCCATTGTGGCCAGAGAGCGCACACTGTGGGCAGATGAGGGCACAGTTCTTGTCTCTTTTATTTGTTCATAAAAATGTGCTTATTTAAGAACAAAAGCAAACTGGGCTAGACAAACTGTAGGCATCAAGAAGAAATGGGTCTAACTTGCAGCAACCCAGTATCATATACAGTTAGTTTTTCTTCTTTTCCCTTTCTACTGTCCTTTTGGGTTAGGTAGGTATCATCTATCTTCTTCCATTCAAAAAAATCAAAGATATTTCCGCTATCTTGTCATGAACATTCACTGTCTGGCTTTCCTTCAGCTGCCACATTCACGAGATCCACCAAAATCCTCCTTTATGGATGTCTAGAAATGTATCTTATTAGCCATATGACAGCATTCCAATGCCAAACTTTACGTTTTCATTTTTAATTCAGTCAC